ACCATCTCCTTCATCCTCTACTTATCTTACTCCCTCTCCTCTTTCCTCCTTCCCAAAATCCACACATTCACCTCTCCTCTCCCTTCATCTCCGTCCGTGTTTCCCTCCTTAACCTCTCTCTATTCTCTTATCTCAATCTTCTCCTCCCCTTCCCTCCTCTCCTTTCCCCTCTCTCTCCTCTCTCCCCTCAAACACTAACTTAAAAGTGGAGAAGGAGTGGAGGAAGTGGAGGAGAGAAGAGGAGGAGGTATCAAATACGCTTTATTTTACCTTGATTCTTACCTAAATTTACTAGTTTCTTCATTATTTATAACAGTTCTTTACTTAGGTGGGTGGAATTTATCTATTTCATACATACCCATTCCCGAACTTTTCGGAATAAATAAAATGGCTGGAGTCTTTGGAATGACAATTGGAATATTTATTACGTTAGCGAAATCTTATTTGTTTATGTTCATTCATATCACAGCAAGATGGACTTTACCTAGGATGAGAATAGACCAATTATTAAATCTTGTATGAAAATTTCTTTTGCCTATTTCCGAGGAGAGCGGTGATAGAGAGGTTGAAAAGTAAGAGAGAATTAGGGTTTTTTTTTGTAAATATTTTAATTTCGATGATAAATTTGCAAGTGCGAAAGATATGAATGGTATATATGCAAAAATCCATAACTTTCTTGCACAAATCAAAAATTACGGCGACCAGAGTAGGTTCAAAAGGTTAACTGTGCTAACTTGTATGTGTTATTATCGTCAGCGTCACTTTTTACGTTTTATTGATTAGAGGGTGTCACTTTATAGGCTAAAATGGTATTTCACCATTTTAGCCTAAGAGATACTCTCCCCAATTCTCCACCAAGGCTTGAACTGCTCTTTCTGTCTCCAGCTGGTTAATGAGAACTGATTTCGTAATCATTTTAATTTTGCACTGGAATTTATTCAATAACACTCTATTTGGCCTAAGGTTGATTCTAGTTCAAACGAGAACTTGTTTCAGAAAAACAAAATCGCACGAGATGCAAAATATATGTATATGTAAATCTCAAAAGACCAAGAATGACTATATTAATCATACCGACGGAAAAAGGAAAAAGGAAAAAAAAAGACATCACGATATCACTATACAATGTCTCACCCACCCACATTTTGATAACTGCAAATATTAACACAAAGACCCAAAAATATATAGCCTAGTAGTAATCCTACGCATACCAGAGTCTGAAGGGGGAGAAAAAAAAATTTAGAACGAAGTACCTCGCACGCTGCTGGATCTAGACTTCGAGAATCATATAGGAGCCGCACAAGTTGTTCTAAAATGCCCGGTCTGGTTGCACCTGCTGCAGTGCACAACCCTCTTCACCCTCCCTCGATCCTCCGCCCTCACCCTCTTCTTCCTCGGCCTCCCCGGTGGCCTCAGAGACTTCGGCGGGTTGATCAAAACCTCGACCCTGTCCCCTCCTTCGTTCTCCAAACTCAACTCCTTCCACAGGCTCTTGTCGGGGATCGGATGAATAGTCTGCGAGTAAGTCTTCCTGTACGTCGTCACGGTGAAGCAACTCTCGGTGTATCTATGCAGTTTGCTGAGAGAGATCACGCCTGCGCGATACCCCGGGGCGCGCAGGCAGCCGGTGAGCTGCACCCTCTACGATGGCCAGCAGGCGGTTTCTGCATGTCGACGATGTTCGACCCCTCGTGCTGGGAAACGACTTCGAATTCTGCTTCGTTCGCTCTCCCTACTTGGTACCCCCTCGCCCTCTCGATGGCGTCTGAGACTTTCCTTTCGGCGGAGGGGACGAGGATCGTTGACCACTGCATGCTCATCTCTCTTCGCTCGTTGAACCATGTCATCAACTGCCGCCTGATGCATTCCATCATCTGGATTATCGGTAGTCCGGACGCTTCTAGAATCCAACTGTTGAGTGATTCTGCAATGTTTGCCGTCAGGTGTCCGTATCTAGTCCCTTCAAAGTACGCGGTTGCCCATAGTCTTGGAGGGATCCGACGAATCCAAAAGGCAGCTTCTTGTGAAATCTCTTCAATCTCTAGCACCTTAGCTTCAAATTCGATGACGGTTAGAGCATGGGCCGCCTCCCAAAGAAGGTTCACTAGCATTGTGTTGCTGAACTCCTTCCGGAAGCTATCGCTGAGGTGGCGCATGCAGAAGCCGTGAAATGCAGTGGGGAAGTTGAAGTCAACTCCGTCGACGATACCCTTTTGTCTATCGGATAGAATAGTGAGCCTCGGCATGTTCTCGGTGTTGGTTTCAAGGAGGGCGTGGAGCTCCGATAAGAACCATATCCAATTCTCATCGCTCTCCTCATCAACGACGCCAAAGGCTAGAGGAAACAGAGCACCGTCGCCGTCGAATCCAGTGGCAAAGAGTAGAGTCCCCAGGTATTTGCTCTTGAGAAGGGTGCGGTCCAGGCCTATCAAAGGACGGCAAGCATTCACAAAACCATATATCGAAGCGTAGAACGAGATGAACAAGCGCTTGAAACAATTATCCTCGGGGTTCCCATAAACCGAAGCGATACTTCCAGGGTTTGTTCTCTTTACTTGCTCACAGTATTGTGGCAAAAGGCGGTAGCCTTCTTCAAAAGAGCCTCGAACAGCTGCCATGATTCTTTCTTTCCCTCTCCAAGCTTGCTTATAAGATAGAGTAATCCCATGCATTCGATGAATCTCCTCCAAGATCTCCTTCGGCTTGTAATGAGGATTTTCACGAAGCCGCTCCTCAACAGAATTGGCAACCCACTGAACTGAGGCCTGCTGATGCCCTAAATGGTTGATTCCGCTACAAGTGTGAGTCTCGTGGATAGTTCTGATGGTAAATGTGGGCACACCGGGGAGCTTGGCAGCGTGAATTCTCCATGGGCAACCCTCAGCAGCACACTTAGCAGTGAACCGAGTCTTGTCGGACTTGACGGTTTGAATCTCAAAGTGGCAAGCGATTGCTGCATCTCTTAAAGCCCTTCGGCAGCTCTTCACGTCGGGGAATTCTTGGCCAACGGCGAGCTCATGGTTAGGGTTCACAATAACCCGAGACTGGAGCACCGAAGGGATCATAAGCTGAGAGTGCTGAGGGGAAATTTCATGTGCAGACTGGAGAGCGAGCTCATGAGACTGGTCCAAATCATGATTTTGTGCTTCAAGGGCGGACAGGTCATGGTGGGCCTCGGCTAGAGCCAGCTCTTGGTTGTCCGAGAGGCCGAGATCGTGGTTTTGAGCGTCAAGGGTTTCTGAATCAGGGTCTTGCGTTTGGCCAAGCGCAAGCTCATTGTTTGCGTCATGTTCCTCATGAGGATGATGATGTTGATGTTGATGTTGATGTTGATGGTGACCAAGAACGAGATGATTACCATCATGAGGATGGCCTAGGCCAAGTTCATGGTGGCCGTGAGTTTGGCCGAGACCAAGATCGTGATGGTCAAGACTGAGGTTGTGCCTCTGGTTAAGGCCCAAGCCATGGCTCTGGCTGATGACAAGGTCGTGGCTTTGGCCAAGTGCGAGGTCAGGGTTCTGACCAAGAACTAAATCATGGTTCGCCATGGAGATGGTCGTAGATCAGTAAGCAACTGAGTTCTTCAAAACCTGGTCACAAGAAACAAAAAATGCAACATCTTGAGCGAGACTCTCATAAACATGCAAGCAAAATCAGCCAAGGAACTGAGAATAAAATCCAGAGTATATCAGCGAGCTACTTGGGACAGCTGCAGTAAAATGACTGAAAACAGGAAACAGAGAATACAAAATAATTTCGTTCACAAGAAGAACCAAAATGTTCAGTAGCTTGATTGAAAATACCCTAACTATATTATGAAGAATCAGGCAAGAAAAAACAATAAAAAACCGATATTTATCTGCGAGCTCGCATTGGAGAACAAAACCAATATTTGAAGGTGATGGAAAAACTAGGACTGCCGAAATAAACTAAACAATACGGGAATTTATCTAGCTTTCACCCCTCAACATCAAAACCTCATTAGTCAACAAACTCCTAAACATTAGGAATTCAAGGTCAAGGTGCCATTTTTCTATCACAAACAAGGAGTTGTAAGATTGTAATCAGAGATGCAACAAATTCGGTCGAGCATTCTAAATAAATATCGGAGCAATTAACAAGTGGGATCAAAGTCCCCACCCAAGTGGAAACCAGATGAGTTCAAGCTCATAAGACACTCTCTACACAGTGTTCCAAAGCTCTGAATAGAATCAATAACTCTAACATCAGAAACAAAGATTGGATCTTTAGCTCCGTCAGAAATAAATAACACGAGAAAGACCCCACAACAACAGCAGCAGCAACGACAACAGACCGCGAGAAGTTCAAACGTCCCATAAAAACCCGTATCAAATTACTGGAGAACAAACACACAGTGAACAAGGAAAGAAGTTATTATAATCAAAGCCTCGATACGCTCCGAACAATTAAACCCAAATCCCCATGAAGAGAACCCCGTCAAAATCCAAACTTGGACGCGAAAACCAAAGGCCCAAACCAAAAACCATAAAATATCAGATCTTTCCGCTTACAACACTAAAACCACACCTCTCCCCGCTACAGCGTCATGAGGGGACTCGCCCAAGATCCGATCTTTTGAGAGGGGAGAACGAACGAAGAGCCCCAATCGCTGAACCCAGAAGGGAACCGGAGGATCGCGCGGAGATCTGAGAGAATCGACCTCGGGTTGGATTTTTTTTTTTCTTTTTTTTCTCTTTTTTTGAACGGGGAAAGAGCGGGTAAATTGCAGGGCAAAAGAGGGAAATCGAGGGAGGAGAGGGCAGGGAGAGAATTTCAATAATGAGAAGAAGAAGAAGAAGGAGAGAGATTGAGGTTTTTAGAGCGAGGAGGGCAAAAGGGCAGAAGAGGGCTACGGCGATGGGAGGAGGAAATGAGGGGGGCATTTAGGTCAACACGAGGGAGATCCCTCTTATCTTTTATGGGGAGATGATGTCGACGATGTTCGACCCCTCGTGCTGGGAAACGACTTCGAATTCTGCTTCGTTCGCTCTCCCTACTTGGTACCCCCTCGCCCTCTCGATGGCGTCTGAGACTTTCCTTTCGGCGGAGGGGACGAGGATCGTTGACCACTGCATGCTCATCTCTCTTCGCTCGTTGAACCATGTCATCAACTGCCGCCTGATGCATTCCATCATCTGGATTATCGGTAGTCCGGACGCTTCTAGAATCCAACTGTTGAGTGATTCTGCAATGTTTGCCGTCAGGTGTCCGTATCTAGTCCCTTCAAAGTACGCGGTTGCCCATAGTCTTGGAGGGATCCGACGAATCCAAAAGGCAGCTTCTTGTGAAATCTCTTCAATCTCTAGCACCTTAGCTTCAAATTCGATGACGGTTAGAGCATGGGCCGCCTCCCAAAGAAGGTTCACTAGCATTGTGTTGCTGAACTCCTTCCGGAAGCTATCGCTGAGGTGGCGCATGCAGAAGCCGTGAAATGCAGTGGGGAAGTTGAAGTCAACTCCGTCGACGATACCCTTTTGTCTATCGGATAGAATAGTGAGCCTCGGCATGTTCTCGGTGTTGGTTTCAAGGAGGGCGTGGAGCTCCGATAAGAACCATATCCAATTCTCATCGCTCTCCTCATCAACGACGCCAAAGGCTAGAGGAAACAGAGCACCGTCGCCGTCGAATCCAGTGGCAAAGAGTAGAGTCCCCAGGTATTTGCTCTTGAGAAGGGTGCGGTCCAGGCCTATCAAAGGACGGCAAGCATTCACAAAACCATATATCGAAGCGTAGAACGAGATGAACAAGCGCTTGAAACAATTATCCTCGGGGTTCCCATAAACCGAAGCGATACTTCCAGGGTTTGTTCTCTTTACTTGCTCACAGTATTGTGGCAAAAGGCGGTAGCCTTCTTCAAAAGAGCCTCGAACAGCTGCCATGATTCTTTCTTTCCCTCTCCAAGCTTGCTTATAAGATAGAGTAATCCCATGCATTCGATGAATCTCCTCCAAGATCTCCTTCGGCTTGTAATGAGGATTTTCACGAAGCCGCTCCTCAACAGAATTGGCAACCCACTGAACTGAGGCCTGCTGATGCCCTAAATGGTTGATTCCGCTACAAGTGTGAGTCTCGTGGATAGTTCTGATGGTAAATGTGGGCACACCGGGGAGCTTGGCAGCGTGAATTCTCCATGGGCAACCCTCAGCAGCACACTTAGCAGTGAACCGAGTCTTGTCGGACTTGACGGTTTGAATCTCAAAGTGGCAAGCGATTGCTGCATCTCTTAAAGCCCTTCGGCAGCTCTTCACGTCGGGGAATTCTTGGCCAACGGCGAGCTCATGGTTAGGGTTCACAATAACCCGAGACTGGAGCACCGAAGGGATCATAAGCTGAGAGTGCTGAGGGGAAATTTCATGTGCAGACTGGAGAGCGAGCTCATGAGACTGGTCCAAATCATGATTTTGTGCTTCAAGGGCGGACAGGTCATGGTGGGCCTCGGCTAGAGCCAGCTCTTGGTTGTCCGAGAGGCCGAGATCGTGGTTTTGAGCGTCAAGGGTTTCTGAATCAGGGTCTTGCGTTTGGCCAAGCGCAAGCTCATTGTTTGCGTCATGTTCCTCATGAGGATGATGATGTTGATGTTGATGTTGATGTTGATGGTGACCAAGAACGAGATGATTACCATCATGAGGATGGCCTAGGCCAAGTTCATGGTGGCCGTGAGTTTGGCCGAGACCAAGATCGTGATGGTCAAGACTGAGGTTGTGCCTCTGGTTAAGGCCCAAGCCATGGCTCTGGCTGATGACAAGGTCGTGGCTTTGGCCAAGTGCGAGGTCAGGGTTCTGACCAAGAACTAAATCATGGTTCGCCATGGAGATGGTCGTAGATCAGTAAGCAACTGAGTTCTTCAAAACCTGGTCACAAGAAACAAAAAATGCAACATCTTGAGCGAGACTCTCATAAACATGCAAGCAAAATCAGCCAAGGAACTGAGAATAAAATCCAGAGTATATCAGCGAGCTACTTGGGACAGCTGCAGTAAAATGACTGAAAACAGGAAACAGAGAATACAAAATAATTTCGTTCACAAGAAGAACCAAAATGTTCAGTAGCTTGATTGAAAATACCCTAACTATATTATGAAGAATCAGGCAAGAAAAAACAATAAAAAACCGATATTTATCTGCGAGCTCGCATTGGAGAACAAAACCAATATTTGAAGGTGATGGAAAAACTAGGACTGCCGAAATAAACTAAACAATACGGGAATTTATCTAGCTTTCACCCCTCAACATCAAAACCTCATTAGTCAACAAACTCCTAAACATTAGGAATTCAAGGTCAAGGTGCCATTTTTCTATCACAAACAAGGAGTTGTAAGATTGTAATCAGAGATGCAACAAATTCGGTCGAGCATTCTAAATAAATATCGGAGCAATTAACAAGTGGGATCAAAGTCCCCACCCAAGTGGAAACCAGATGAGTTCAAGCTCATAAGACACTCTCTACACAGTGTTCCAAAGCTCTGAATAGAATCAATAACTCTAACATCAGAAACAAAGATTGGATCTTTAGCTCCGTCAGAAATAAATAACACGAGAAAGACCCCACAACAACAGCAGCAGCAACGACAACAGACCGCGAGAAGTTCAAACGTCCCATAAAAACCCGTATCAAATTACTGGAGAACAAACACACAGTGAACAAGGAAAGAAGTTATTATAATCAAAGCCTCGATACGCTCCGAACAATTAAACCCAAATCCCCATGAAGAGAACCCCGTCAAAATCCAAACTTGGACGCGAAAACCAAAGGCCCAAACCAAAAACCATAAAATATCAGATCTTTCCGCTTACAACACTAAAACCACACCTCTCCCCGCTACAGCGTCATGAGGGGACTCGCCCAAGATCCGATCTTTTGAGAGGGGAGAACGAACGAAGAGCCCCAATCGCTGAACCCAGAAGGGAACCGGAGGATCGCGCGGAGATCTGAGAGAATCGACCTCGGGTTGGATTTTTTTTTTTCTTTTTTTTCTCTTTTTTTGAACGGGGAAAGAGCGGGTAAATTGCAGGGCAAAAGAGGGAAATCGAGGGAGGAGAGGGCAGGGAGAGAATTTCAATAATGAGAAGAAGAAGAAGAAGGAGAGAGATTGAGGTTTTTAGAGCGAGGAGGGCAAAAGGGCAGAAGAGGGCTACGGCGATGGGAGGAGGAAATGAGGGGGGCATTTAGGTCAACACGAGGGAGATCCCTCTTATCTTTTATGGGGAGATTACAACTTTACCCCTCATCAAAAACCCTAATTGCCCCTCGGCGTGTATTTTGCCCCTTGGGCTTTTTTTGTTGCTAGGTGGACTCAGTTGAGGAGCGTGATCTTTTAATTAGCAATAATCGTAAAAAAAGTTTTTTTTTTCCCTCTGTAACTCTTTTTCTTCTCTTTTTGGGTTCCTCTAGTTTATTTGAAACTTTTAGCTTATGCTATGTAGGGCTGTCCAAAACACCCGTCGGCCTGGGTCCGAATTGCCTCAGCGACGCCCGGCCCGGGCCCGGAACAGGGCCGGAGCCGGGTCCACATCCGGGCCGGGCAGCCCGGGCCCGGAGCCCGGCCCGGCCACAACGATCACCATAATCCTTTCATCAAATGGCTTCCGGATCTGATTATGAAGAGCAAAACCTATCTCCCGATCCTGAAATGAGTCCTCCTACTATGAGTCCTTCTACTGGGTCTACTCCTACCGAAGTTAATCCTGAATCCGGTGGCGACGAATCTGCACCAATAGCTCCTAAAAGGCCAAGATCCGATGTGTGGAATTTTTACAAGAAGATCGACGTCACCAAGGATGAACACGGTAGGATCCTCACCCAGAAGGCTAAGTGTGCATTGTGCGGCAAGATTTTTCAAGCTCATCATAAGAGCGGCACCAACCACCTCAAACGCCATTTAGATAAACACAACAAAGGCCAGACTCCTCAATGTGATATCCGACAATCTATGATTTCTCAATCCTCCTCTTCTGGTAGTCTCGGTAGTTGGAACTATGACGCTGCCAGAGCCAGGAAATGCGTAATCAGATTTATCATTCTTAAAAACCTTCCTTTTAAATTAGTAGAAGATGATGAATTTGAAGATATGTTTAGAGATGGTTTTTATCCTGCATTTAAAAAAATTTCTCGTCAAACCTGTCAACGTGATATTTTAAAATATTATCAACAGGAACAAGAAAAAATAATTTCTTATTTTAAAAATTTAAACTGTAAATTTTCTTTAACTTCTGATATTTGGACATCTAGAGCACAAACTGGATATTTATGTATCACAGCACACTGGATTGATGAAAATTGGCAAATGTTTAAAAGAGTTGTTTCTTTTATTGCAATAGAAGAGTCACATACTGGTGCTAATGTTGCAAATTTAATAATTGAAGAACTTATGAAATTAGAAATTTCAGAAAGAATATTTTCTCTTTCATTAGATAATGCAAGTAATAACAATGTAGCTGTTGATTTTATCAGATCATCTTTATCATTGCCATGTCATGGTGATCTTTTTCATATTAGGTGCATATGTCATATTTTAAATTTAATTGTTCAAAGTGCATTTACTGAAATTAAACCCATGATAGAAAAGGTTAGAACAGTTGCTTACATGCATAGTGCTTCTGAACAAAGACTTAAAAGATGGAAACAATTTTGTAAAAGAAAAAATGTAAAGCCTAGACTAATTCCAAAAGATGTTGACCATAGGTGGAATTCCACATATGCAATGTTAAGTGTAGCAATAGAATATAAAGACATTATAACTGATTTTATAAACTATTATGCTTCTAGTTCTAGTTCTGGTAGCACTTATGGAATAACTGAAGATGAATGGACAGTTATATGTAATTTAAATGAAATGTTACAAGTTTTTTATGATGCTACCATGTTATTATCTGGCTG